ATTCCGCTAACGTTTGATAAACAATTTCCCGACTTTTTGTTAACATACTGGCACCTTGATATTTTAGATGTAAATAAAAACATACTACGTAGTAATCATTTTGAAATTCTTTCAATCAATGTTCCCCGATTTACTAGCAAAACGTCCAAATTCTTTTGTATCATTTTGAACTATTGTCATTAATCGAGTGAATAAATTAAAATTAAATAACAATCAGCTAGTGTAGCCGAATTAGCCTGTATAACACCAACTGCGAAAGCCAATACTCGCATAATACTGTACAAATTGTCATGATACAACTGTTTTTGTTTCACAACGACAACACTTTAGGCGGTAATTCTTCATTATGCACACAAATGATTGTTTCCAACGGATTTCTCAACAAAATAAACGATTTTAAACAATCATCCACTGTCGTGCATCTTGTATCGCCTATGGAATCAAATGTCTCTTTTTTCACATGAGTTCGTTTCGCTTCAGCTTTTAGTATTGCTTTGAATTTGTGCGATTGATTGAAATAAGTTGTCACCGTTGATAATTTTGATAACAATTTTGACAAAAAACTATGTTTAACTACATCACCTAAAAGCAAAAACTAAATGATAAAAGGCGAGACATAGGCAAATTAGCGATATACTTACAAGCAATCAAATTAATGGTATGACCAAAACATCTTAGCGATAAAACACGTTGAAGAAGCGGTTTTAATATAAATGTTTATCTCATTTTTTTCGTTACATTTGGGTTGTCTGTTACGATTGCACAAATGTTTTTTACTATATGAGAAGTAATTGACAAACGTTGCAGAACATTGTCCAATTGATTGATTAAGAATGTCGCTGTATGATTAAATTCATTGAGATCTTTCAACGTCAAAAGAACATTGTTTCTCGTTTCTGTGACTAAAATGTGAGAAAAACTTACGAATGTGATTGTGAGAGGGATCCGCGAGAGGCTTTAGGCTAGTTAAGCTGCAGTTGTACATAGAAAACTTTTAGTTTGCTAGATTCTAATGTGCATACATGACGAAAAGAAAGGTAATATTATACTCAAGAGAGCTTATTTTCTGATACTCACGCGCTAATCTTATTTCAAAAGGTACAAATGGATATCAGCAAATTTTGACATAAAAACGAGTATACACACCAAAGTTGTGTTCGTACAATGAATGACCCACTTGGTCCGTCCATCTATCTTTGTTCAGTGTTAATGTGGAGAAATGAAATTGAATTATTAGATAATCAATAGAAAACAAAAAAAAATTTCGTTAAATATGCTAGAAAAATGGAAACGTTCACGTTTAGAAACGAAAATGGATTGTAACAGACTATATAAGATTACTCTACTTCCATAGACGGCGGAACGAATTGGGTCTAGGGTAGGCTCAGAATCATATAATAGGAAAAATAACACAGAAAAAGGGCTTTTTTAGCAAATCTGGGCTAGCCTCAGCCGCTTCAAGACAAATCTAGGGTAGGCTCAAGCCTACCAGAGCCTACAGGCTCCGCCGCCTGTATCTACCTTGCTTTTATCCCGTAATCAATAATTCCAAGGCAGCAAGATCACGTAACGCTATCTGTGCGCTACCATTTTCTCTGTTTGCTAATCGTATAAAACTCGAATGAACATAGAGAGCTAAATAATGTCTCATTTGGTAGATCAAAGTATGCTCTTCAAAATTCACTACGGATTTAAGCCGGTTAAATCGATTATTGTTTAGCTATAGTAGAAATGCCAGAAGCGCTTTCTACGAAACTTCCTTTTAAACCTCATGGCAAAATAATTGTAACAGAAAACGATTAATCTAATCGTCTCGAATTCATAGTAAATTTTGAAGAGCACACTTTGATCTACAAAATGAGACATTGCTCAGCTCGTTATAATATAACCTTCAACTTGTATAAGATAAACAAACGGACAAAAAAGTTGATCGTTAGCCGACTTTCATCAAGGGATAAGGGCGCATGCCAGAGCGTGTATATCAGTTAATGAATTTGTTTTCGAATCTCGGATGGTAATTTGGATTCAAAAAAAGAATGTGTTGCGGAACTTTTTGGAATCATACGGTACTAAAAATCCTTCAGGTCGTTATATGATTTATGGATTGAATAATCAGTTTGGACCATTCGTAATCCCTGTATGTATGGTAGACAATGGGTGGAATTCGTTATTGCTACCAATATTAAATGGTGTTGATGATTTACATAATGAACTAAAAGATGATGCATTTATATGCTCGATTGATGAAGCTAAGGACACTGGAGCTGTTGCATATAAAAAATGCTTATCGGATACCTATACGTTTATCCGGTGGAAGGAGCGCAACTTCCATTCTTGAATTATGTTTTCATGTAACAAAAGAAGATGCCATTGCATTAAGTATATCATCAAAACTGAAAGACAATGACAAAATGTTATTAAGACAATATATGAATTTATTAGAGATAATACCAAAAGATATTATTTCAGAAAAAATACAATTTGCATTAGATGGAGCATCAGTTTTAGGTCATTTTGATGTGTATCCAGCTCGAGATATAATGCTTTTGATTCATTCAGCAGACATATTTTCACGGACATAAATTTACCGTATTGTTGGAACATTCAAACAATCTGCAAAGCACTGCGGAGTAGCTAAAACAAAACAATTTCGTGATTATGTAAATTTGAGCTCTGGTGATAATCCAGATTATGTAGATTATTCATCGGTATTTCGACAATAAAAATCATGTCTATTTTTTTGTTGTGTTTTCAGATTTGAACTTTTTTAAATATTTCTGCATTAAATACGCACAATAAGATATTGTTGCTGTTGTTGTTCAATTATTTTTCACTATTATAATTATTACATTCATTTATTTATTGTAAATACGTAGTAGTTGTTACGGCGCATTTTTGAATGTTGTTTGTATACTATAAACCAATAAATCACATTTATTCCTTCTCGTTGTTAACAACTGAATGTGGCAAAACACATTCCCCAGGCACACAAAAAATCACGCGTTTTTATTCCGTTTTTAACAGTTGAAAAACGCAACTAATCATTCACCATCTTACCTTGCGGTCAGCCGAGTATATAAGTACAATCAAAATATCGAAGAAATATCATCGACTTTTCGTTCTTTTTCTATTTTCGATCATCAGTTTTGTACTTCCTTTATGATAGATTTTCCACTATTTTTAAATTAAGTCCCACTGGGTAGCCAAGTCTCACCTTTGGTTTAACGAAAATTCAGGAGTAGCAGACTCGATCCCAAAACGCGTTTTTATTCCGTTTTTAACGATCAAAAACGCGTTAAATGTTTCAGTTGAAACGCGTTACGAAACGCATTCTTGAAACGTTTGAAAACGCGTTTTTTGTACATTTTTAACGCAAAAGTAACGGGTTTGTAACATGTTCAAAAGACTGTTTTAACGCGTTTTTTGATCGTTAAAAACGAAAAAAAACGCTTTTTAGGATCAATTTTTTTTGTGCCTGGGTCTGGTCCGCAGTCTATCTGTACAGACAAACTGATGATTACACTATAGTGTGTTTACAATGACTCTATAGAGTAAATTTGGACGCGAAGAGTTAAAGCAGATGTTAAGAAAAAAAAGAATCTGTTGGCGAAAACTTGAGATAAATCTTTCAGAAGGTTTTTCACTATGCCAAATCTAAATGAGAATGTACACACACGTGAGCTGCATCAGCCTAACAAAATGAGACTTGTCGATTGCTGATGAAAACTGTAAGAAAGACTAAAGTGTTGGATCTAAGTGTAATTTTTCATTTTCATTCCATTTCTTATTTTTCTCTTGTTGATAAGTGAAATATAACATGTGTAGAAGTAGACGCCTTCTTCATATATCTTTTCTCTGTTTTCTGTTCGCTACATAAAGAGACGGTCTGAGTGCCATTCAGCTAGTGATTGGTGATGGGTTGTTCTTTCAAGAACAACTAGTACAAATCGGCGTCCTGATGACGACTTTCGCATTTAAAAAGTTTTAAAACAACGGCATGGTGGCCTTCCAGACCAGTTCCAAAATGTTAACTACGTTCTCAGGAAAATATTTAAAAAACTCGTTTTCTCCCAAAAGTAGGCCTTTTTCGTAAACCATTTTTCCCCCATAAAATCATATCAACACAAGACAACAAGATATGCATTCGATGCGTCTTTTCAAGTCCTATCCGGTGAAGTGATTCGCATTGCGATTAGAAAACATTTAATGCTAGGAAACAACAGTTTTTAAAGGCGATTTTCCTCGCTTTTCAAAGTTTGAGTACGTGCTGCACCATTCTACGGGATTCCGAGACGTGGGATGACATATATCTCGCATGTACTTGACGTGGGCTATTAGAAAAACAGGTGTTCGTCTTTGGCCAAGTTCTTTTGAAATAGAATGATGCAGCACGTACTCAAACTTTGAAAAGCGAGGAAAACCGCCTTTAAAAGCTATTGTTTCCTAGCATTAAATGTTTTCTAATCGCAATGCGAATCACTTCACCGGATAGAACTTGAAAAGGCGCATCGAATGCATATCTTGTTGCCTTGTGTTGATATGATTTTATGGGGGGAAAATGGTTTACAAAAAGGCCTGCTTTTGGGAGAAAACGAGTTTGGAACTTTTTGCCCGCTAATGATTTTGTAGCTCTGTACATATAGAAGCTAATCTGACGGTACCAGCTTATAAAAGTGTTTCACTAAAGAATGGTGAAAATGTCTACAAAAGGACTGTTCTACTGGGAAATGGGATTTCCACAGGTCTGGAAGGCCACCACCAAACTTTTTAAACGCGATATTCGTCATCAGGAGGCCGATTTGTACTAGTCCTGTTACTCTCGAACAATTTGGACAAAGTCGATGTAAATGTGTTTTCAAAAGAATCACCCTTATCACTACAGAGTTGATTTATATGCGTGTAATTTAACTTTAAATTTAGATTTGTTATGTGTGGTTCGGTACACACAGACGCAAACTTGATGTCTGTATATAATGTAATGATAAATATATCTTGTTGGAAATCAAATATTGTACATCTGATATACTCAAAATTAAGCCACCAATCTCTTCTTTGCTTCCTCACTTTTAACACAAACAATTTATTCTCATAAGGAGAAGGTGTTCCTCCACCCATTTTTTTTCGACCAGTTTGTAGAGCACACTTTTTCAAATATATATTTCAAGATCTTTTTCGGTTTTGTGATCCGTAATTTTTATGAAAACAAATTTTTAAGTTCTGCATGGGATTTTTGCTCAATTTTCAAAAATTTATATAAATATTTGATTTTTTTAGATGGAACCTTGAATCTGCCGTTTAAAAAGTATTATATGGGATTGTAATGTCGTAATTATTTATGTGCTTATCATTTTAACTACTTTTTGTAACTAACTTTTTATGCCTCTAAAATTTTGTTAGTTTATACAAATTCAATTGTTCTCTTCCATGAATTGGAAGCCTTCACGGTACTTGTTTGAGGAAGTCGAGAACGAGTAAACAAAACAGTGTGGATGAGCAATCTAATAATTCTGGTTTAAGTTCAAGAGGTTCGAGATCAATTGATTAACAGTAGTCCTTCAACATAATGATAAAATAAAATAATAGTCTGAAATATGATTGAAAAAAAGGTTTTTTTCTGTCAAACATATTCTCTCATTACTTTTTATTAAAAAATACTAAAATCTAATAAAAAAATATATAATCACCGAATTTTAACTGCCGTGTAAGCAGTATTTACACAAAACTACAAACTATACATGGAATGTACGCTGAATAATAGCACTATTTTTTAATTGACATATTCAAAAATTTGTTTATTTCAGTTAGATACCTACCTTGTCAATAATCAAGTCTTTTGATCGAACAATAACTTCATTTTTGTCAGCATCATATACGCTTGCCTGACATCGATATTTGCCCAGATCATTCTCATTAATATTTGATATTAGTACTTGACTTGCACTAATCATTGAATATTTTTTTGATGACTTTATCAATCCGTTTGACGGCGTGTACCAATTTACATAAGATTTGTCATCTGAAAAAAGAAAAAATTAAATAAATTGAAAGGATGTATAGAAGTTGACAAAACATACCCGTTAAACAATCGAGCAAAACAGTTGTCTCATTTAGATAATAGAAGCCTGTTGTCAGGTTCAAGTTCAAATTTTCTACATCATATTTAATTCGAAAACCCATTTCATCAATAATTATTGTTTTTGATAATACTTCATTTGTTGTATTTACTGTACAAGTGTATTCCCCATACGTATCGTTTGTTAACGTTTCAAATATTAATTGTCCCTTTTTAACATATGTATCGGAATTTAGAATCTTTAATCGACGTACCCACCATATTTCATAATCACTTTCCGGATCTAAGATAAAAAAGAAATTAAAAGAAAAAAGAGATCATTTTGTTTTTTTGTACCGATGGTGCAAATGTATAATGAATGATTTTGATGCTTTGGTGAATAAATAATAATAAATGGTGTTTCGACTGACGTATCAGATGCTGTAAAATCATCAACATTTACCGATTCTTCGATTGTTTGATTATGAAAAGTTGCCAAACATGTATAAAGTCCAAAATGATGAGATTCTGGTTGATTGATAATCAGTAATGGCCCTTGTTGTTCAACATCATCAGCAATTCGATCGCCGTTAAACTTGTATGTAATAAGTGCATTATCATCTAATTGACACAGAGCATATAGAAGTAGCAAATACTTTGGGACAAAAGTTTGTTCTTCGTCCTATACAAGAGCGGCTACCGTTATCGGTGTAGGATACTGACAACTGTCAATTTCGATAATCTGATAACTCTCCTACAGTTGATAAACTTGTAACATTATTGCCTACATTGTTACTTCCATCAACTTTAGCTCTGTTCATAATGCTAGTCTGACGCAGAGACTCTTCGGTCCTCTCATATGGTCCTATACTCGTTACAATACATTCTCTCAAATAGACTTATCAGGTTTGAAAAACTTATTCCATCACACATTCGACACTAATATTGTAATGATTATATCAGTTTCTTACCATCCACTACGCAATCTAACTCGAATCGTCGGAATGTTGAACCACTTAATTCTCTTAAAACTAATTTTCCATTTGATGATATTTTTTTATCAGCTTTTGTGTATACACGTCCGTCAGTATCAATAATAATACTTTGGATACCGACCATACCTTCATTTAATACAAAACATGTATACGTGCCGTCAATATCACTATTGGTATTTATATCATTCATGATTATTAATGTATCATTTTCAATGGTAAGAGAAGAGACAGGTGGTGATTCTCTCAGACGTCGTCGCCAGTAGACAAATGCATCTCTTATGGCTAACAGAAAAAAAAGTTCACACTTTGAACAACTTTCGAACTTGAAAATATAACAAAATAACTTACTAGTTGAACATTTGATTGTTCGTGCTCCATTCTTTTTATTGCCATTTATGTCAATTTTGATTGTTAATGATATATTTGGATTAATTTGACCACGTACGGATGTTTCATCTGTGGAATTTGACGATGCTGGTAATAATGAACTTAGATGAAGAATATAATTCTGCCAACCGATACCATAATTGTTTTCAACTTGTACAACATATTCATCAGCATCACTCTCTTGAATATCGTTGATGAGCAGATAACTATCATTCACAATTGTTCTTGTGTAATCAAATTCAGCATTCGATCGACGAGACCAATTGTAAACATGAGCTTTTTCAGCTAGAAACAAAACAGAAGGTGAACGATTGGTCGGGAACGTAAATGATTTCACGAAGTCAATAAATAAACCGTAGATTAAAATTTAATGATTGCTTCTAGAGAGAAGGACATTTTGAAACTTACATATTTGAAAGCAGTGTAGTCGGTTACGTTATATAGTGCACAGATTTCGACGGAGTAAGGAAGCATTTTGGGTTAAGATAACTTCACTTCAGTTTTCACGGTATCCAACACTATAGTTAGTACTCTAGTTCACATACGAAGTTCAAAATATATCACTGTTTCTTCCTGCTTTGTTGCCGGTTTTCTTTCCTTCAGTATGCATATCGAGACAGAAACAGAAACCAAGAAAGTAAGAAAAAAATGAATTTTATATTTTCACCAACTATTCATATTCATGATGAAATTATTCTTCATTCTGTCAATTTTTCGGATTGAAATAAAATTAACTAGAGTGTATCTGACTCTGATTTTTATGTCACCCTAACGAACATATAGTTTGTAGAAAAGGGTACATGTTGAGATAAAGAGCTGTTCATATCGGAGCTGGGAAGATGTGCAAGATCTTATAAAATCTTTTCAGTGAGACTGTTGATCCGTATCAATTGCTAATTATGAAATTATACAAAATCTCTCAAGTTCATATGATTTTTTGTCATACGATCTCATAACGTCCTGCAAGAAGCAATGACTCATTCTTGCAATATAGATTTTGTTGAAACATATAGTGTATAGGTAGAAGTTACAATATCAATCTTATGGGCGAACTTTAAAATTTTCTTTTTATTCAACTTCATCAGAGTGACCGATCGAATTTTATGAATTAAATATTATTTAATTTTTAAACTCCTGGACAGAATAGAACGATACTCTAAAGAGTTTGATGTGCGTATCAGAACGACACGTCGCTCTATTTCGCCCACTGGAACGTTTTCTTCATTTTTCCATGCGATCATCACCATATATCAATCATAGATGACATAGCTCTCTTTTCGGTTCTGCAAATCAATCCATAAGTCATAATTTTCCTTACCAGATCAGAACAAGTTGTTGAAGTCGGAAAGTTATAACTGCTTCTTCTCTTTGGACAAATTAGAGAAACCCACGCAAATGGAAAAAGTCGTTCGAGGGGTGCGATGAGTACTCGAAAATAGGCCTTCGCCGAAGGCTCGAAAAAAAATGGCACTTCGGACTCTTGATATAAGCTTTCGAGGGATATCGATCTCGAGCCCTCGGTTTCAGATAGGTAGCGAACCCTCTAGAAAAATTTCTAGCCGTCGTACAGAGGTTTTCGGGACTTTCGAGCCTCCGAGGGCTCGAAATCGATACCCCTCGAAAGCTTATATCGAGGGTCCGAAGCCATTTTCCGAAGATTCGAGTCCTCGGCAAAGGCCCATCGAAAGCATATTTTCGAGCACTCGAAGTACCCCTCGAACAACTGGTTGGGAACACTCCAAAAAACTTGATGTTCTGGGACAAAACAGAATGATATCTCAGCCTATTTCACCGAGTTTAAGGTTTAATCATTCGATGATCATAATCAATAATCATTCTTATGATAAGTGTGTTTAATTGAAATACTAAGATTAACTATTTCTTAGGGAAACACACGCCTTTCACACGTTAAATACAAATAATCAATCTTCCGTTCAATCAATCGGCCGTTGAAACGCTGAACCATCAACGGTGTCTTACCAAAGTTGACAGTTGTTAATATCAACATTATTAACATCAAAATATTTTTGATAAACGAGGGTTCATCACCCATCAAATCAAACACTTTATCAAGAAAAATGAAGATTTCACTTATTTAATAATGTTTGAACAGTAACTGTTTTTATTTAAGGATTAATTTAATATAGTCTTTGCAAAAAGCTGCTCTTGAAGTAAATTGGGTCGCTATGTATTACACAACTGTACTTAACACGAAATGAATTTTTAGAGAAGGTTCCATTTCAGACTAGAACTTAGTAGTTCAGAAGCTCAGCGGAAGAGATACCGATGACATTGATTATTAGAAACTGCTATGGTTAAATCAATAAAATAGACTGATCTTTATGATTAACAGTTAGCGAAATCAGTAAAAAGACACCACAATACACTCTGATCCTTTGTACATTCTTCCGTAGTCTATCCAAGTTCAAACTTCGACTATTCAACCTGTATACAATTTATCTTGACCATGTTATAGTAAATATTAGAGTGTACGATTAAAAAAGTCAATACTAACCTACGACTGCTATAAGAGCCAGTGTCTCACCAACATGATGTGGTTCTAATTGAGCATAAATGTATGGATGCGGTGGATCTGTATCTTTCACAATTGAATATGAATAATCATTTGAGAATCTTATAGTTTGTTGTTGTTTTATATCATTATCACTTGTTTCCAATGTTTCACATGTATACAAGCCTAAATCATTAACATCAAATGGATATATAATTAAATTATTTCCATCAATAATTGTGTGTGATGATATTGATCGATCTCGACGTAACCAAATAGCATTATGTGTTGTTAATTTGTTTTGTGTATTGATACACGTTAATTCAACTTTGTTTCCAGGTTGAATATCACCGTGTACATGAATGTTTAATGAATGACGATTAGGATTCTTTAATATAATATTTTTAGATTTAAACGAATATAAATTTGATGCCGTACAAACATATTCACCATAGTCTAATAATGAAAACTTTTCAATAATCAAAGTTCTATTAGTGGTTAAGACTTTATTTGGATTGTCAATTTTTTTCCATTGAATTGTTGAATTTACACCTATTAAGATAAAATCGAAATCATCAATGATGTTTGCTTTTTTTTATACAATTTATTATACTGACCACCAACACTACTAATCGTACATTTCAATACCACCAGTTCTCCTAGAAGAATATCAATTGATATTTAATCCATACAATGGTAATATTCACGCTGGTCAATATCAATATATCATTGAGAC